CTTAGAGGGAACACTGCTCCCAGCCATTTGCTCGAGACAAATGAGACCATTTCAGCTCAGGCAAATGGCATCGAGGGCAGCCAAGAGCCCCCTCCTCCCCCCATGCCACAGTTCCAAGATGAATTGGGTTTCTGTCGTTTCTAAAAACGATATTCTCTGCACCTGCTGTGTGGCTGCAGGGAAAATAAATCCAGTCTGGACAACCCAAGTTTGGCGTGGGGAACTGGGGGGCCTGGCTCTGACTCACAAAAAAGGCATTGTGTAGTTTGGACTTCAAAGAGAGGGCTTGATATGGCACACTTGCCAAGAAGACTGGTCAACTCATCTGAACAAGTAATGATTAGATTATGGTAGTGCAATAGCATTAGATTTTCCAGATCTAACTTTCTCACTTCTTAACTATAGCCTGTATTGCATGTGCTCATCTTCTGGAATTGTCTCTAGGGTGATGAGATAAAAGCAAGGCCTATGCTTTTAATAATTGTCTAGAAGAGGAAATGTTAGCAGCTGCATTTTGCCTCATCTTTGCATAAAAATCTACACCTGCTGAGGTTCCCCCTTCTACACAGTTATTAAAAGCACAGGAGCTTTGACCTCCTCTGCACCTGATCCTCTGCCTAAACAATACAAACAACAACAACAAAAGAGATGGTGATGCCGGTACTGTAATCCCTCTCAATTCAGCCCATCAGTTGTACATCCCAGACCACTAACTGAAGATTAGTGTAGTATCTTTAACAGTACTGCAGAAGTGTGAAGGGCAGCAGAGGTTTAGGGTGTGTGCCTGCTTGAGCACCCGGGCACTTTCTTCCTTGCTTGAACCCACCAAAAAAAAGGCCCCCACTGAAAATTTTCTGGCTTACGGAGCTGTGTTGGCCACTCTTCCCCTTAATTCTCCTCCTTAATCTTGTCTTTAAGTGTAACTATAATTCTGTATGCCTGGCTTATTTTATTTTGAAATTTTCTACAGTGCCTAGTGATAACTACAACGACGACTCTTACTACTAATAAAATAGTCTTGTCCACTGTTCCCTGAGCTCACCCTAAAAAGAACACTGGGGAGGTGTGATAAAATGAACGAAACTAGCTGGGAGAAAACTATGCCAGTAACATAACTGGATGGACAAGCTGATGCCCCGTGTGCTCAGGTTCCCGGAAGAGCCTAGATCCCTGTGGGTGCTTTGGAACAGGTTTGTTAAGATGCTGATGGGATGGGAGGGAGGCAGCTCCATTTTGTGGTGGTGGCAGCCTGCATTTATCAGCATACTAGAGACTTCAGTGGAGAAGAGATAAGACATAGCCTCTGGGTGTCATGCAGATCCCACAGGGCCCCCCAAGG